GATAAAACAAGATTTCAAAAGTCAGGATCTTTCAAAAGATATACAGGTATCTTGTAATATTGATACAAATATTTCTTTATTGATGGGAAAAAAAAGATAAGTGTACTTAACTAGCAAATTAGCAAAAGATTGATAAAATATGTGGGATCCCAGAAAGAGATACATTTTATTATATTCTCATAAAACTTCAGAACCTGGCAGAACAGACACTGCTTTGCTCCATGCAGAGATGCTGTCACTCAGCATCACTGATAATTCTCCCTGGCTTTCATCCTATCTCCATCTTCTAAGCAATCATCAGCAACTACAGTATTTAGTATAGATAATGCTAAGCTAATTTAGTACAGATAGTGTAAAGATGGAACAAAACAAAAGTCATCCTTTTTTAGGTCGGTACAGACCTATGCTGTCTGCACCAGTGAATGAATAAGAGAGCTTGMCTTGAGAAGACAGGGCACGGGAGGGCACATGGCCAGGGTTTCTCTTAAGACCCAGGCACCATCCGAGGTTTCTTCTCCCATGTAGACTTCAGAGGAAAGAGGGCCATCTGCTGTCCTACAGGAGWCATGCCTCAGCACGACTTTCTATCATAGAATCACAGAATTGCTATGGTTGGAAAAGATCTTCAAGATCATCAAGTCCAACGGTAAAACCACCATCACCATGCTTGCTAAACCACGTGCCTAAGTCATCTAAACGTTTCTGGAGCATTGACAGGAACGGTGASTCCAGCACTTCCCTGGGCAGCCTATTCCAATGCTTCATCATTCCTTCTGTGTTGAATTTTTTCCTAAGATCTAACCTGAACCTTCCCTGTCACAACTTGAGGTCATTTCCTCTTGCCTATCAGTAGTCATTTTGAGGGGATTGGATAAGGAAGGGAAACCTTTGCTGTCCTCCTCCGTCATTCATTAGAGCCAAATGACAAGGGAAGATGCTGCTATCACCACCTCCCCAACCTAGGAGGATACCAAGCTGGGAGGAGTAGCTGATAGCCCTGAGGGCTGTGCTGCCATCCAGAGGACAGACTGGACGACTGGGCAGTGAGAAACCTCATGAAGTTCAACAAGGGCAAGTGCAGGGTCCTGCACTTGGGGAGGAATAACCCYGGACACCAGTACAGATTAGGRGTGGACCTGCTGGARAGCAGCCCCRCAGAGAGGGACCTGGGTGTCATGGTGGACGACAAGTTGACCATGAGGCAGCAGTGTGCCCTGGTGGCCAAGAAGGCCAACGGGATCCTGGGGTGCATTAAGAARAGCRTCTCCAGCAGGTCGAGGGAGGTGATCATCCCCCTCTACTCAGCCCTGGTGAGGCCACATCTGGAGTACCGTATCCAGTTCTGGGCTCCCCAGTACAAGAGGGATGTGGAGCTGCTGGAGAGAGTCCAGCGCAGGGCTACCAGGATGATCAGGGGCCTGGAACATCTGCCCTGTGAGGAAAGGCTGAGAGAGCTGGGCCTGTTCAGCCTGGAGAAGAGRAGGCTGAGGGGGGACCTGATCAGCGTGTATAAATACCTCAAGGGAGGCAGTGAGGAGGAGGGGTCTGGTCTCTTCTCAGTGGTGGTCAGAGATAGGACTAGAGGAAACGGCCACAAGCTGAGGCACCAAAAGTTCCACAGGAACTTGAGAAAACACTTTTTGACAGTGAGGGTGACAGAGCCCTGGAACAGGCTGCCCAGAGAGGTTGTGGAGTCTCCTTCTTTGGAGATCTTTAAAACCCGCATGGATGCAGCTCTGTGCCACGTGCTCTAGGTGACCCTGCGTGAGCAGGGGGGTTGGACTAGATGACCTCTGAGGTCCCTTCCAACCTTAAGCATTCTATGATTCGATGATTCTAGGACAGGGCACAGCTGTAATTTTGGTTATAAACGTGATTTCCTGGTAAGGTTGACTCACATAAGGCAATCTTGGGCTAAATTTCAAAATCAGACCAGGAATCTTAGTTTGCTCTGCATATTCAAATTGATATAATATTATGCCACTGGAATACAATTATTGTCATTCTACTGATATTTGCAAATTCAGTATCTCTATCTTATGCAAAATGATACAGCTAAAAAAAAAGGCTGTCAGGAATCTCTTAAATTCTTCTTCTTTTAAAATCATTTTTCCAGTGTGACAAATTTTCCAGACAGTTCTGCACACATCTCTTTGTTGACACAGGCATTTAGCAAAGCAGAAATTTCTGAAGGGCAACCAACAGGATCATCAAAATGACTCAGCACTCCTGCCTTGCCAAGGGCACAGAAGAGCAGTAGCTTCATATGAAAGAACCTCCAAAGCTTTGGTTAAGATCTCTACSCTCTTGTTAGCTTTCACTGACATAGGCCAATACTCAGAAGTTGCATGGGGATAGACAGATCAAATGTGATTATAAAGAAAATAGTCTTAAGAGGAGTTATAATATTGTCCTTTAACCAACAGCTAGGCAGCAGATTTTTATGGGGAACCATTTTCCTTCCGTATTTCCAATAAAATTGCAATGCAGAGATGACCAGGTTTTAATGCACTCAACTGTAGGACAAAGGTTTACTCTGTAGTAAGCCTGGAAGAAATCAGCCCTTAAATTGACATCTGCTCCCAATGTTAAGCAACCAATGCAGAGAGGCTGCACCTGCAAAAAAAGCTGCCAAGTGAAGACAAGTACCAATTCAGCAAGAATTTGCGGTATTGTTTGTAGCTYTTTCCTACCATGTCATACAGAATACCCCAAGCCAGTGGTAGCCTTGTGTGCAGTATAGAGGTTATTTTGGTTCTCATCATTCTGATACTTTAAGATAGATGCTCCAAAATGAGCACATAAAGGCATTATTAAAATATTCTTTGCTGTCTCCAGAAGTTTCTTCCCCAAATACTAATTTTTCTTCTAGTTCTCATTGACAGATGAGAGAACATTTCAAGGGAAAGGATCTTTTTCCCGCTGTTTTCTGTCTGCAAGCATTTTGGTGTTATTTCTTATTTATTCACTTATTCTAAATTTTCACTTACATAATAATGATACTCATGTCCTGCTCTCAAGGCACAGAAGTTGCTTTTTGCTAACTTACTTCACAACAAATCTGCCAATTAAAAAAAAAAAAAAAAACAACAGCATTTGGATTTGAATTGCTGAATAGAATAATTTTCCATCTCAATTTCCAGTAAAAATGGAATACAGAGCATCTGGCAGAGTATATCCTGCAGAAGTGGGTCAGGTTTTATGCCCTGCATTGCACTGAAAGTTAGAAATGATTAATCAAGATGGTGCATTTTAGACTTTAGATGCATAAAACTGCCACTGGCAAAGAACAATCAAGCACTGAAGGCTGGAGCTAAAGGAGTCACTTTCTAAGGAGGGCTCCCTGTCTCCCTTAAAGACTGCGTTTAACTGGTGGTAGCCAGAAAGTCATTCTTTCAATCTTTTTTTCTTTTTCTTCTTCTTCCAGACTTTCACTCCCCTCCCTTACATGGATATTCTTCCAATACCTATAGGCTACACATGCATGCAAAAGGAGAGTGGACTCTCATACCAGCCTTTGTTAAAGGCTAAAATGTACCTTTCTTTTTTTAACTTCTCTAGCATAGATACATGCTAGCTTTGAAATACACATGGCTTAACACTCATTTGCACTGGATGTGTGGAGTCTCCTTCTCTGGAGGTCTTYCAAACCCGYCTGGATGCCGCCCTGTGCCCCGTGYTCTGGGTGTCCCTGCTGGAGCAGGGGGTTGGTCTAGATGATCTCTAGAGGTCCCTTCCAACCTCAACTCTTCTGTGATTCTGTAATGTGTGAATTAGGCCTTTCTTTATGTGCAAAGTGCAGAGACCACTGGCAGCTCACACCGAGCAGCCTCCATTTATCACAGATTTACACAAGGATTGAGGCTGGACAGGACCCCAGGAGACCACCTAGTCCAGCCTCCTACTGCACATCACCCAGTGCTTGAATATTCTCCAGGTTAGAGAGGATTCCACAGTTTGCAGCCACTGGGAAGCTGCGGAGCATTTGTTGAGATGCTTTACCTACAGCATGATCGTATAAAGCTGTTATACCAAAAGCACAACTACACTGAGCAATCCTTTACACTGGTCACCCTCGTGCTTTTCTGTGTTGCTCCTCCTCTGTTTCAAGCAACAGTAGGTGTTTTTATCACAACAAAATTCAAAAGATTCAAAATCCAAATTAATCACCGAACAGTTACCAGCAGCTACCGCGAAAGCGCCACACACCCTGGGAGTGAGAGGGCGTGACTTGCCTGGCAAAATTTGCCCTAAATAAGAGGCACTCTCCCCAAACAACTGAGCCAAGCGGGACAGCGACACCACCAGACCGCCGGTCAGTAAGCGGAGAGCAGCGGCCGTTA